TTTTGCATCTGTTTATTCGTTTTACTGTGTGTAGTCGCTGGCAGAAGTCCCTGGATTTCGTCCTGTATTTTTTCTTTCAATACTTGTAAATTTTGAGGTATTTATTAATATATTTTGTTGAAAATATGCCTAAAAGACTGAGATCGGGGCTGTTTTCTGGGTACCTAACGTTTCTGATAATATTTTTTATAGTGTTCGGTGACGGGATCGCCCTCCAAAATAAATTTGCCGATATTCCTGAAGAACTTTTGCACATTATTGTTATTTGAATAATACAGTTTAATTATGTTTTATTTTTCGTCATCAGAATAACCCCTTTTAATTTTATTTAAATTTTTTCAAATTAAAATGGATTATTCTAATAATGGATAAATCCCATGTATTTTTAAAGGAAGGTTCGTTTCTGTCGTTTTTGTCTGATTGTGTGCAAGAGAGATAGAGTGACTTTGTCCTCATAGAGGGCTTTTCTCTCTGTCTGTCGGTCTCTCTCTCTCTGCTGGAGTTTCTAGGGCTTTCCCAGCATCTTCAGGATACCTAGGGAGGAAGACTTTTTAGCCTTCGGAAATGGCTGAAAATATAAACAAATCTCCCCTTAGTTCTGAGTAGAGCACTCGGTGGGTGAGGCAGACTAGTGCGTCACAATATATGAAAGAAAAAAAAACAGTATTTGCTTGTAGCTCGGAAGTACTCGAAATTCATTTTTTATTTGTGTGTGGTGAGCCTAAGTGGAGGTTAACATGTGAAAAGTCTCTTCATAAAATCATTTGTTTTTGGTGGTACGTACTGTCTAATTAAATTTTAAATACTCATAATATAAACAAGTACAGTGTGGGAAATGTATAACTAAAAAAATTAGTTCAGCTAATCGATGATGTTGCTGCATAAACTTTCAAATCAATNAGTTATTAAATGTTTGAAATTATTTGTCTTTGCGGAAAACACTATTTAAAGAATATGGGGCCCTTAAAGAATTTGACATTATACATTCATTTATCAATATTAAAAGACACCATGTGACAATATAAACAACAGTTGACAAAATTCAAACTATAACTGTTAGCAGATTAATTCTTAAATGGAATTAATTTGGCATAGATATTAAAAATGGAGTTTAATTAAATTTTATGTAATCAATTATAAAAAAAGGATCGGATAATATTAATTAAACTACAGAGGAAAAATTAATTAACTCTCCCAAATTTAACCACTGAACTTTTCTACGTAATTAACCTATTACCTAAATTACTCAGGATTGCTTTATCTCAATGTATCCAAGTCGATGATATAATCTAAGAAAACACTGTTCGTTTCCGTAACATTAATTATTTAATAATAAATCACAAATTTAGTGACTTTTAAATGAGGTGCACGTTCAAAATTTAATAAAAAATTAATTATTACTGATAATTTGCCGTTGTCATCTCACAGTTCAAGAAAAATATTTTATATTGTAGGAGTATTTTGAGCCAGACTGTGTTAAATTACAAACGTGAATAAAGTTTACTTAAATTTACTCTAAATGATAAGTCCTAATATAATAACAGAAATTTGTTGTTAAAAATTATAAAGGCAAGTTTATGTGGGTCGTCTTAGAAGTACATCTATAATATTAAATTTAATATTTTTTTAATTTTAATAGTGCACACGTATTTTAGTAATATACATATGTGCATTAACAAATTATACGGATAATATTTTACAGTCGATTTTAGGCTCGGTACTTTAGTCTGTGTTAAAACTTCATTAACTGATCAGGCTATTAGACTGTACATATACTGATTTATTTTATAATAGTATATTCACAGTCTAATCGCCTGATTAGTTAATCAAGCCTTAAACGAGACTCAAAGTACCGGGCCTCAGTGTAATTATTATCAGTTACATTCAAATTCGCTGTCATCTATCAAATCTCCCCGTAGTCTACTTATCTTTCTCACTATCATAGGCGAGGCTCGTTAAAAGCTGGGACTAAATTTCATTAATAGCTGTAACGGAATTTTAAATATATGAGTTTATAAAGAAAACATTTCAAATAAAATTAAGTATGCTGTGTATCTAAGTCTTACCATTCACACGATTTACAAGCCTATTATATCTGTCTTATATAGAATTATTAAGATGTACCTAAGTATTTATTGGTGTAATATTGTACGTTCGTTTGTATATTTGGAGGATAACATTATTATTTGTATAATGTTTCGAGTATTTATTTTATTTCTTTGTAAAATAAACCTTAGCTGAATTATTAATTTCTTATGGTTTTAATAGATAACTAGTAAGAAATGTCTCAAAAATAAAAAAGAAATTACCTAACTAGTTGCCATGGAATTGGCCATAACTAAAATAAAAATATTTTTTATAAGAATATCTGTCTATAGAGAAACACATTCATATAGTCAGTAAAGTAAATAGAAGGAAAAAAATAGGTATTTTTAATAAATTAATAATGTTGCAAACTTTTGAAGAAATTATCTCTTATTCAAGCATGATAATAAATAATAATACATTCTTAAAATACAGAAATAACATATGTGTTTTATCGTGGCTGTTTCCTACTATTATTCATTGTTTAAAATACGATATTTTGTAATAAATATTAGGTGTACATACTCACATTAGTAGTATTTAGAGATATTTTACATAAAACAGGTAATAACGACTAGCGTGTCTATGGGATTACTTATTTAGTATATCAAACCTATCAAGGCTTGAATCATAAATATGTAGATCCATTTTAAACAGCGATACAGTTTACTATGCAGAATATGTAACAAATTTTCTTTGCCACAAAGTTAGGGATAAAAAGTTAAATTTAAAATAAATATGCGTGATTTTTCAATAGAAGACCTCTTGAGGGCAACTGACTTCACTTTGGTATTTATGCGTAACATAATTTGTCTATTATAAACGGGAGAACAACTATATAGTGTTGCTGATGTTCCACAGGACTCTTAAACTCTAATTCTTTATATGAAACAAGTAAAATAAATAAGCATTTTTAGATAATTCGTCAAAAGAAGTCTTTATAGAAATCCGGCAATGATTTTCAGTGTGTGACCTGTTATTCACATCTATCTTATACGGTCAATATTGAGCGTAGAGCGTTGCGGTTTGAGGTAAATAAGTCAGTGTTTTGAAAAAAAATTGTACTATTGGAAAATGTTTTATTTCCTTTAAATCGTATTTATACAAAATTGAAATAGATATTTTTCACTTCAAATTATCCAAGCTGATTCAAAATTCAGTACAAAAAATTTTATGACGTATTGTTGAGGTCTAAATAAGATTTTTTCCCGTAGAAACGTGGATCCTCAAATGCTTAATTTGCGATATACAGGAGTTTTTTATTTTTTTCGATTTTGGAAGAATAATTTCCAAACAGATTTAAATGTTGGCATAAGACTTGGGGTACGGGGGTTATTTAGGATGCTAAATTTAAATATGACATTATTTTTGACACTGCTTGTGGCGGGCGCCAACTATAAGGGTACGCTTGAATTAAATTGGCTCTAATTTTCTTGCTACCCTGTGCAGACGTTTCGTATTAGTTCGTCAATCAATTTTACAGCCATTTCCGAGATAAATTATTTTTAAAGTTCAATAAATTTGGGCATTTTTTTATTTTGTTTTTTTCGTAATAATTTGTTTTCTAAGTTCCTAAGAGTCTTAGATTTCAACAAGTTTGACAGAAAACCTTTAAGAATAGTTGTCAAACTAAGCAGTCATAACCTACTATCTTTTTTCTCTAAGTATTTTGATATTGACAATGCTACTACTAGTCAGCACTGATTTTCTTGAAAACGGTTAGTTGTATCAAAAAAATGTAAAGAGCTAAAATTCAAGATCAATGCATTACTGATTAGACGGTGAAAATAAATTTTAAAATATTTCACCGTAAATAGTTAATAAAATTTGAAAATATGATATGTATTTCATCAGCTAATATCTCGAAAATGGTTGGTCTGAGAAATTTCGACCAAGTATACCTTTTTTAGGTATACTTTTTTTGCTTAAAATTGATATAGGAATAAACGCACTAATACAAAATATCAATGTACAGGGTAGCAAAAAAGTTAAGGCCAATTTAATTCAGATGTCCCGCCGATATAGGTGCCGCCCTCTACAAGCAACGTCGAAAGCACACCAAAAGTTTTATTTTGACCTCGAAAGTACGCCCCTAAATTCTTTGTACTGAATTTTGAATCATCCTGTATTTCTACATTGCAATATGTTAGTTAACTTAATTTTTGTGCTACAATTAGATGATATGACTTTACTATGTAAAAGAATAAGATGTTATTATTTGAATTTTCAGCTGTCAATTTCCTCCTCGAAATTATTTATTTGCGGTGTACTTACGAGTTTGAGTTGTGTACATGTGGATGGCAAGGTTACAACAGCACTAGTTTGACATATTGTTGAGTAAATGTATTTTATAGTAACTAACTGCTTAAGTATAATAATTAGATAAACGTTTAATTGCAAAGTTCATTTTTTGAGTAATTTAGTGTATTTGTTTTTAAAATAAAGCAATTTTAAACTTTATGATACTACTTAACGTAAAGAAATTAATTTTTCAATCACATTGGTTATTTTTGTTGTGAAGTAACATTTATATTAAGATTATTGTACATGTAATTTAATTCTAATTCGTTCTTAAAACCAGCTACTATTTTTTAAATTAGAATCCGTCATAGTCCTTTAAAGATAGATTTACGGACTGAGGTCTTATATATTTTTCATGGCATATAAACATACCAAACTGATAATTATTGTAGTACCTTTAAGGTAAGATAAAGTAATGCCCGATATTCGTACCCTTCAAATGTTTTCTCACCCATTCACTTTCTATTCCTGTAAAAATGTACTCTGATTTCATTCGCAGCATCTAAAATGTTACGTGCTTTGCATCCCTAGACTGCTTTGATTCTTGAGGACGTCTTGACACGTATCTCCGACAGGACATGACGTGGAAAGTGAGATGTTATTTTTTGTTACAGAAAATCTGTGGGGGATGTCGGCGAACGTGTGCTGCGAAGTACTCCGGATTGGGGTGAAACGGCCATAAACGGGGACCATTTGTGGGTTCCAACATCGGTTTCCGGAGATTTCTGCTACGTTGGAGACACTGACTGCACGGTAAGAACGATCATTAGTGCCACGACAAGATAATAACTAGCCAGATAATTGCAGAATGTAAATAGTCGTTATACATGTGTATTTCAAGGGCTGAAAAACGGCGGGTTCTAAATAACAAAGATTAAACTTATAGGAAGGCTTTTCATAAGTTTATAGTCACATATTTGAAGCCCAAATTACCACAACAGTAGAGTTATATCAATGTTATAAATATATTTTATATTTCATGGAAAATTTGTAGAAATATTACTAAAAATAACATTTCCTAAAAATCGCACTTGTTCTTAAAACTATATGGCTTTTTAAAAAATGTGTAACTAATAATGTATAATATGAGGGGTAGTAATCTGAATGTATCCGTTCATTCCGATTTTTAATGGTGTTTAGAAAGGCCCCAAAAGTCAATATATCCCGCTTTGTGAAGAACTAAATAAAAAAGATTGCCAAAAACTAAATATTTCCAAGCCATATTTCTAGAAACGTTTTAATCATTGTAAGGAGTTCTTTTACTAAGTAAAGTTAGTCCAACACCACACCGTATATAGGGCGTCAAAAAAGTATAAAAAAGGAGTTCTCCAAATAAAATTTGAAAAGTTTATATGAATGTATGACAGAAACGATTTTTGAGATACAGGGTGTTCGTATGTAAAGAGTAAGTTTTCGAACAAAAATTATTTTTTCCTTTCAAGTTCGATACATGGTATTACCTAACGAATGTGTATGATTTGAATTTTGCTTTGAAAAGTGAGATAATTCAAGGACGGTAGTCAGGGGAATTATCATGTTTTTTTAAGCAATATTTATGCAAAATTAATTAATTAAAAAAGGCATTCTTATTTTTTTTCGATAAAACCCACCCACAATTTTCAAGAAAATTGCAAAATATGATACCCATAAGCTATGGACATTACACAAAATTTGATGACACGCATTATGTCAACACAAAATTTGACTGTGATAAGTTAGTTATTTATAGGCTAAGATTAAAATGTGATACTTTACAACGCAAGGGCGTCGCCAGCCAATGGGCTAGGGGGGTAAGATAAGAGAGAGGATGGGAGAAATATAAATTATATGTTGAAATAGGTACAGTTAATTATTTTTTTTAGAAATATTTTTAATAAAACCTTCTAGTCGAGGAAATAAAACACTGAACACTGAAAATTGCATCGGTGCATAAGAAAAATGCATTTTTAAAATTGCTACTCGAAGAGTTAAAAAATGGAAAATTTATAACTTGGAAAATATTGACGGAAATGAGTTCAATTTTGCTAATCAATCAATCTATTCAATTTTGCATGTATTTTTTGTAATGCATAAATGTATTTTTACAATAAAAAACAATTAAGAATAAAATATGTTAGTTGTCACAGAAACCAACCATCCTGGGTACTAGGCACCTCGAGAATCGTTACCTTCATGATATTCGTGTTGAGGGACCTCAAAAACCACGAGGTAACGAGCTAATTTCCACAAAACTCCAGGAGACGACATGGAAACCGGCCACCCTGGGCACTAGGTACCTCGAGACCGTTGCCGTCGTGATATTCATGTTCAGCGACCTCAAAAACCTCCGAGTAGTCAATGAACTCATTACCGTCAATATTTTCCAAGTTATAAATTTTTCAATTTTTAACTTTTCATTTCTCATTGATCACATAGGGTCACATACTTTCTGGACGCTCTAACGAATCGAATGCAAAAAACTGTATCACGATCCATCTTACTGCACAGATTTCGGAGGTAAGGTAGTTTTTAGTGCTTTATTTCCTCGACTATTTTTAATACGAGAAAAACGAAAAAATATAAATAACTAACAAAAATTTAACGAAAATTATGTAACACATAATCTTTTCTGATTTTTTGAAAATTTGTCGACCACTTTGTTAATATAATCTTCATGATTGTCAAAAATAAGCTTTCTGTGTATACTCATCGTTGCTTAAGAAAATTGTTCTACTTTTTTCGAATTTCTAAGGGGGGCAGCTACCTCCCCTGCCCCACCCTTGGCGACGCCCTTGTTACAGGGCAAGCATATAAGTGTAGTGCGTAGAATATTTTTTGCTACCAACAATAATAGAACTACTATGTATTGGCCATAAATTTATTGAAAAATATAACTCATTTGTTAACACTTTTGTTGAAAGTGCTATAATGCAAAGTGTAATTATTAAATGTTGATGTTCCGATCAATTTATGGATAATGATATTTGCGTTACCTATAATACCGAATTCTGGCTTTTCAGGTTGATTTTGATTTTGTTTATTTTCTAAATCAGAATTTTATTTGCTTTGTTTATTTTATTTTGAACAGTCTGTTAGTAATGTGGCTGAAGTCCTACCGTAACAGTAACTGGTAAATTGTGTCGTTTAGCGTGATTTTAGATATGTAGCTATTTTGCAAAGAGCAATTCCTATTAAATGCATTCCGATAGATTGAATAGTATATTTATTGTTTGTCTATAATATGAATTATCTATGTGTGATGTTTATTGGACGTAGAACTAAATACTTTCTTTATATAATTCTAAATTAAATTTGTCGACAACTAAAATTGTTCTCTGCGTATTTGTTTTTAAAATAGGAATTATTATTATTAACATATCATTCTTATCTTCCAAATCATCTACGGTTATCTTTATTGATCACGGCGACATGCGACGCCCAAGCCAATTACTATTATGACTAACAAAAAATTAACGGGAATATCGGAAATAGAAAGGTAATCATGATTCTAGGCTTCTATTCAAAATTTGTTTAATTCTTTTCTACTATACACTCCGGACTTCTTTGCATAATGTCTTAGATTTTTTCTTTGGTATTAACATTGTTCTGAGCATTGAATGTAGACTTCATACACTTGATGATTTAAGCATGTTTGATTGTTCAGCTAAATAAGCTAACAGAATATCATCATTTACTACCATTACTTTTTTCTTTTAACATTATTCACACAATTTTTATGCTTTTTCGTGCTTTTTCCTGGATTTCATTGGTAATAATTCACCACTGGCGGCAGCAGCTGCTTCTTTAATATCGAATGGATTGCTTTCTTCATCACTTTCGTCAATATTCCTCTTCAAACGTCTTACAGATTTGTAAAAATATAAACATCAAGACGTCAAAAAGATACTTGATGCATATCTACATTGTTTTTAATGCAAGTTTTGACGCAGATCTCAGTAGAATTAATTTAAGCTATCCTAAAGAAATGTTTTTTTCTTCGTCTAATATTGTAATCACGAAATTTAATTTCATTTCGCAATATACCTTGTGGTATCCAATTAGAAAATAATTCCTTTAATATACCAAGCAATTTGGTAACCATTGTCTTTGTACATATTGAGTAATTGATTATATTATTTCAACTACTTTCAACTACTATTTACAACATCTCAGTACTCTACATATACTACAAAAATTATTCCGCAACCATTTTCATTTCAAGAATAAAATTGCTTCAAACTGGATTAATAAATTGAATTCCAAATTAAATGCGGCTTCCTTGTGAACCGTTCAGTATGAAAAGGTATTCACAGAGATGAAAATTTTATTAAAAATGTCCTCGGAATGATTTTTTTTATAGACGGTGCTCTTAATTCAGTAACTTAATGCTAATTTAGAAAGTTTTCAAACGCAACATTACCCGATTGAAATTCACTGATTTCAGACGCCCAATTAAATTCGTAAACCCAAACTCTATCACGTTATCTGAATGTGTTAATCAGAGAATTTTTTTTACTTTTAACTAGTGCCATTCGACCTCTACAATTTCTGGCACTGACACACCGAACAAATATTTGATAAATAATCTCCATTTTCATGCATTTTTTTCCTTATTTTCAGTGCCAAAAATATAAAATAATAAATACTCCTATTGGGTTTTATCCCTCGATATTTCTCTAAAAAATGACAAATTGTCTTCTATTTTAATTTAGAAACTGATAAAACTGAAGGATATTATATAGGGTGTAAGAAGTTTGACTGCCATTACTTCAGCATGGGATCAATCAATCATAAATGAATAAAAAAGTTGCATATTACAGGGGCGTAAGATTAAGAGTTTTCAAAATACAGCGAGTATTAATATTGGGGAGTTTCATCACAACGTGACAACAGCGCTTAGCTAATGTCACACAGCTGATGCACACCACGTGTGCACGCGGCAGATTTGTCCTATGGAATAACAAAAATTATTGTGAAACATTTAATTAATTTCAAGACAATTGTTTTCCAGTTTTTAAATAAACAAAATTAAATGTATCGATTTGGTAGTACGAAGATAGTGTTGTGCTTAAATTTTAGTTCGAATTTTAGTAATTATGAATTTCTTAAAACAGGAACTTTTAATCAAATTATGAATTTGAAAAATATGTAATTAATGTACCCAAAGATACACGTCGTCCAAATAATAATCATACATATTAAAAATAATGTAGGTACTTACCAAAAAGCAAAATTCAGTAATTTTTAAATGTAACTACAAAACCAACTACAACATATATGCTTAAAATGTCCACCACGATGCACGCACGACACCTTCGAATCCACTTTTCGGGCATTCGCTGGAAAGTACCCGGATTTATCTTTATTTGATGGGCAACGCCAGAAATTCGTTCTCGCAAATCTTCGAATGTTGAATTCCAGATACCAACTGAATTGCGTATTGGTGGTTGTTGGACACCTTAATACCTCGTGTTAACCGCCGCGCCGTTGTCACATTGCTCGATATGAATTTTATCGGATTTTAAACTTATTACAGCTCTAATTATTTTCTAGAATTAAACATAAAGAAATTCAAAAAAGTGATAAACAATGTATTTTATGGTATTTTATGCACGCAGTTACGTCAATATATCTTAATTAATTGAACTTTTGTACATCAAGTTGGAGATTTTGATAATTTTTTTCTCGGAAAAACTAGTCGACACTATCGTAAGTGTTCTTGTCCACACGTGAAGGTAAAATGCGTGGAACTCGGGGGAGAAGTTCTGGTCCAA